TTAAACCATAGCACCAGCCAAAAATCAGTGAGACAGAGATTTCGAGAGGCGAATCTCGTAGTTAAAACAGTATTACGAAGATTAGTACTAGGAGGAGAAATTGAGAACTAACCCGACGATCCAGATGACGACACCGACGATGGAGAGAATGAGAGAGAGGAAAGCGAAGGGAAGACCTAAGAGGAAACCGAGAGGATGACAGTCTCCGTCGCACATGGTTGCTCCGGCGAGAGATTCCGGCGACTATTTTCTACAGTGATGATGAGTCGTATTCTGAAATTTCTTTTTCTCGTACAAAGAGTCTTTTTGAGAGAGACGCGTTAGGTGCAACAAACGTGTTTACTTTTTTTAAAGAATATTTTTCTTCACGAGGCCCATTTGTTGAAAACAAGGCCCATTTATCAATTTAAAGTGCATTCAGTTTCAAGGATAACAAGTAGTATGAGGCCCATTTTATGAATTGAATAATATAAAAAATTTCCAATATTCTTACTCATGAGTAAATCATATCTTCCAATAGTTATGTGCTAAAATATAAAGATTTCAAGTTGACAAAAAAAAATATATTAAGATTTCAAACAAACATGTTTTATATCCATATCCAAAAAGTGTTTTAAGCATGCAGCTATGGCAAAGAGATTATATATAATTAAGTTGATTTTTTTTTTCTTTCAATAAGATGCATTCTATTGAGTTATGTAAATCGAAAGTTTATAAGTTTATTGAAACAAGTCAAGATACATTACTTTTTTATTTTTCTACACAAGGTATATACTTATCAATATTGTCTGCATAGGTCATCAAACATTAATATTTCAACGGGTGACATTAAGTTCCTAGACTAATATTATAATGCCAAGGGTAGAGTATTATTGATTGATAAACATAAGTACATTTAAATGAAGTCAAGGGTGTGTATATATAGACATATGTGGGCGCGTCAAGAAGAATCTTTTCGTGGAGAATATGTTAATTTGTCAAGTTTCATAGTTTATAATTTGAGCCCTCTCAAAATTTTTTAACACTGTAGTTGATGTCGGCGAAACTCTTTTTTTGATAAAGTGCATCAAACTGTTGCTACTATTTCATAATTAACACATTGATGATAGAAAATGCATTGATGATAGAAAATGTAGTTCATGATGACAACACTAATTAAACAGTTTTTTTTTCACAAAAAAAAAACACTTATTAAACAAACATTCAATCACCTAACCTTAAAATCTGTAGTCACCAAATAAATTTCACAATAGCTACATGAATTCATTTATACATAAATGCATTATGCATCCACTACGTAAAACTCGAATCTCGACAATGAATATATATAGTAGAATACAAACACTTGGTTACAACATGCGCTTATTCTCTCAAAAGTAACATTTATAAAATAAATATGGTAGATATGATTTCGCGCAACAATCAGAC